AAAAATTGAAGAGGAAGGTGTTAGTATACAGATCCAGGGAAAGGCCTTGAAACAAAATCCACCTCTGAAAGCAGAGGGCAAAGAAAGACTGAAGAAATAAGCTGGCCACTCTGGTCAGGTAATTAATAGGGAAATTTACATATGAGATATGTCTTGGGCACCTGCAACATGAAATAGATCCCCATACCACTTGCTAGGTGCAAAAGAATTAATTACGGTAAAGGAGGGGTGGGGGAAATAGTTATGGGTACAATACGTGAATACTATCAGGTATGAGAAATTATATGTTTAACCAGGTCAGGACAACAACCTGTCCCAGGAACCAGCACATAGTAGGAGGCAAGGGAGGGGTGCTAATTTATGTCAGGATGAATAATTATGATCAGTCTCTAAGGGAGGGTTATAGAAAGCAACCTCAATTCTGGCCTGGGTCCAGCTCACAGGACAGACAGCATTTGTGTCATGGAATAGTCTCTCCTCCACAGAAAAAACGCTCTCAAACACATTTAACCAGGCCAGCATCAGCCTGATAGCAAAATCAAACGAGGACATCATCATAAATAAATTAAATAGACAAACAAATATTACAGGCCAATATTCTTGATGGACACGGATGCAAAAGTCCTCAACAAAACATTACCAAAATGAATTCACCATTATATTAAAAGGATCATACAATCACAATCAAATGGGATTTATTCTGAGAATGCAAGGATGGTTCAATATCTACAAATCAATGTAGTACGCATTAATAAAATGAAGGATAAAAATCATATGGTCATCTCAATAGAAGCAGAAAAAGCATTTGATAAAATTTAACATTGCTTTATGACAAAAACTTTTAACACAGTGAGCACAAAGGAAACATATCTCAACATAATAATGACCATATATGACAAACCCCCAGCTAACATCATACTCAACAGTGAAAAGCTAAAAATTTTTTTCTAAGATCAGGAACAAGACAAGGATACCCACTCTGACCACGTTTTTCAACATAGTATTGGAAGTCCTGGCCACAATAATTAGGCAATTAAAAGAAATAAAAAGCATGTGAATCAGTAAGAAAGAAGTAAAACTCATTGTTTACAGATAACATGATACTATATATAGAAAACTCTAAAGAGTCATCAAAAAACTGTTAGAACTAATAAACAAATTCAGCAAAGTTTCAGAATACATAAATCTGTGGCATTTCTATAAACTCAGAACGAACTGGAAAAAGAAGTTAAGAAAATAATCCCATTTACAATTATATCAAAAAGAATAAAATACCTAGGAATATGTTTAACAAAGGAGGTAAAAGCTCTGTCTACTTAAAACTATAAGGTACTTATGAAAAAAATTACAGACACAAGTAAATGGAAAGATATTCTGTGCTCATGGATTGGAAGAATATTGTTAAAATAGCCATACTACCCAAAGCAATCTATAGATCCAATGTAATCCCTATCAAAATTCCAATGGCATATTTCATAGAACTAGAACATATAATTCTAGAATTTGCATAGAAACACAAAAGATCCCACATAGCCAAAGCAGTCCTGAAAAGAACAACAAAGTTGGAGGTATCACACTCCCTGATTTCAAACTACACTACAAAGTTATAATAATCAAAACAATAGGGTATTAAAACAAAGAAAGAAACACAGACCAATGTAACAGTACTGAGAGTCCAGAAATAAACCCATACATGTATGAGCAATTACCATACATCAAAGGAGCCAAGAACATACAATGGAAAAAAAAAACCCATTCTCTTCAATAAATGGTATTGGGGAAACTGGACAGCCTCTTCTAAAGGATGAAACTAGACCAATGTCCTACATCATACACAAAAATTAACTCAAAATGGATTAAAGACATGAATGTAAGACCTGAAATCATAAAATCCCTCCAAGAAAACATAGGTAGTAAACTCCCTGACATTGGTCTTAGCAATGTGCTTGTGGATCTAATTCTAAAAGCAAAAGAAACAAAAGCAAAACTGAACAAATAGGACTACATTAAACTAAAAATCTTCTGCATTGCAATGGAAACCAACATCAAAACAAAAAGACATTTGCAAATCATTAAAGAGTTAATATTCAAAATATATAAAGAACTAATATAACTCAATGACAACAAAAGAAAACAAACAACCCAATTAAAAAGTAAACAGAGGATCTAAATAGACATTTTCCAAAGAAGACATATATATGGCCAACAGGCACATTAAAAGATGTTCAACATCACTAATTATTAGGGGAATGCAAATCAAAACCACAATGAGATATGACTTCATACCTGTTAGAATGGCTATTTTAAAAAGATAAGAAATAACAAGGGTTGGAGAGGATACGGAGAAAAGGGAACCCTTATACTTTTTGGTAGGATGGTAAATTGGTACAGCTACGATGGAAAACAGTATGGAGATTCTTCAAAAAAATTAAAAACATAAAACTACCATATGACACAGCTATTCTACTTCTAGGTATTTATCCAAAGAATACAATAACACTAATTCAAAAAGATATACGTACCTCTATGCTCATTGCGGCATTATTTACAATAGCCAAGAAATGGAAGCAATGTAAGTATCCATTAATGGATGAATGGATAAAGAAGGTATATATAGTATGCATATACAATAGAATATTACCTAGCCATAAAAAGGAATGAAATATTTCCATTTATGACAACATGGACTTTGAGGGCATAATGCTAAGTGAAATAAGTCAGAAAGACAAAGACGAATACTATATGATTTCACTTATATGTAGAATCTAAAAAAAAAAAAGAGTACAATATGAAAAGAGAGACCAATAAAAGAACTTTATAGTGGAGAAATTTAACACTATTTTGGCTAAATGATCAAGGTCAATACCAACAATCATAAACCATGTAGAAAGTATGTACCCTTGATATGATGTACTCTTCAAAACTGTCAAAGTCATCAAACAGAGAAAATCTGAGAAATTATCACAACCCAAAGGAGTCTAGGGAGACATAACAAAACGTAATAGGGTATCCTAGAAGTAATCTTGAAACAGAAAAAAAAAAGACAATTAGGTAAAAACTAAGGAAAGCGAATAAATTACGGACTTTTGTTAATAATGCATCAATATTGTTTCAATTGCAACAAATGCAGCATACTAATATAAGTTAACAAAAATAAGGAATTACTCAAAGAATGATGGGTCATGTTAAAAGGACATGGAGCCAGATTTAAGAGGCCACCTCAGGTCAAAACAAGGATAATTATAGCATCAAAATTAGTAATGGTAGTAAAGAATTATAATCCTTTCAATAAAGTAAGAATCCATGAGTTCACAGTGATATAAACAAATGATTAAATAAATGGGGTGCGGTGGGGTGGGGTAGAAAGCTCTTCCTTATTGTAGAAAAACTAAAATATGTAAAAGGAATGACGGTATAAGAAAAATCACCATTGGCCAATCATCATCATAATTGATTCTAGCAAGAATCATCAAATAATGCTAAACTAGTAGATGAAATTTTGGTTAAGTAACAGGATATTCACATACATAATCTCAGAATATACTCCTATGAGTTACTTTTCAATTACGATTAAAATTTCCAGAGGAGAATCCTGGCATACGCCACCTTAACCAATCATCTAAAGTTTCCCTTGTCAGTAACAGGGCTAGTGCACAGCAGAGCCTCCTGGTGTGACACACTGAGACGTCGGCATCACTTCTGTGATTCTCTGCCAAAAGGCAAAACTTAAATCTAAATGTGAAAGCACTTCAGAAAGACTCAACTGAGGGGCATTCTACAGAATAACTGGCTGTACTATTAAGAATTGCCAATGTGATGAAATACAGTAAAGGACTGCAGATTAAAGAAGTTAATTTCAGATGAAAGGTATTGAATGTAACATGACCTTGGATTTTCTTTTGTTATAAAAAGATCTTATTGGGACAATTAAAATCTCAATAAAATTAGATAATAACATAGTTTCAATGTCAAGTTCCTGATTTTAATGATTGTGCTGTGGTTATGTAACGGAATTCCTTGTTTTTAGGAAATATACACTGATATATTTAGAAGTAAAGAGGAACCATGTCAGCAACATATTCTAAGTGGTTCAGAAAGAATAAATGGGAAGGGGTAGTAAGAGACAAAAGGGGGAAGAGAAAAAGGGAGGGGGGACAAATGTGACAAAATGTTGACATTTGGGAACTTGTGTGAAGAGCATCCAGGAATTCTTTGTCCTCTTTTGCAATATTTCTGTGTCTGAAATTACGTCAAAATAAAAAAATTAAATTGGACATAACGTGATACGATTGTCAAAACTCATGGAACAGTACACTGAGATCTATACATTATACCATGTATAAAGAAATGCCATTTCAGTTAAAATAATATAAGCTTATTCTAGATGTTTTATCAAATTTTGGTGGTTGTAACACTTCAACAATTAAAAATGAAAACAAAAAAACAATTAAAAACAGAGGCTAGAAACCTATCAGGACAAACTGAAGATTAACTTATCACCTACTATTTTTAAGCTTACAACGATAAACCAGCATCAGTTAGTCTGGTTGTCATTTCTGTGACCACAGTGATCAATAGCTCTCACAATTTCCCGGCTGTATAGACAGAGGCCACCTTCCTGTCACACTCCCCATGAGGTCTCCTTTGTGCTCAGCCAGGTAACACAATTATCTACATTACACTCTGTTATTAATCATCTTCCAAATGCATAAGCCTGTTACAAGCAAACCTAGACCTTAAATTTTTTTAATTTAAAAAGACAGACAGAGAGGAGCCAAACATGGTGGTAATAACCCTTCATGAGGGCACACTTTGCTTAATGAGCTCTAGGGAGATACCCTGCTAGTGCCAAGACCCAGAACAGGAGCCAGCCAAGCACCTGGCTTATAACCAGGATTAGCATCTTTCATAATATCTTCTTTTAAAAGATTACTATCAGTGTAACAGTCAACTATTCTTTCAAAATACTCATAAAACAAAAAGACTAAGACATCTCATACCTTGCTTTAGAAATACTATAAATTCCTTTACAGTTTGGTCCAAATTAACTCTGTGATACACCACAGGTTTGAAGTTGCGATGCTCAAATGAACGAATGAGGCGAACTGTGATGGTCACTTCTTCGGAAGCCATGTAAAGATATTCCTGTAGCAAGGGACACAAGAACGGTCTAAATAACAACTCACAATTATCTTCAAGCCTGCATTTCCACCATCAACTCTGGTGCCCAGCCCATCTCTTTCACACTGTCTGACAGAATTCCCAAACCAAGGACAGATTCCAGAGCCCCCATAAGGGACCCAAGGTTACTCGCACTTATCCACTGAGACCTGGACAGTTGTCACAGTCAGTGACGTTCTGACTGGCAGAAAACTGACAGGGCACAGAAGATGAATACAGGTGACAAGGGAGGGGTTGCCGAACACAGATACATGGCATATACATGACTGCTTTGGATTTGCTGTGCCGGTGGTCTCCTCACTTGGCCCTGAGATGAAATATGTTTATATCAGAGTCAGCTATCAACAGGTTGCATGTTAATATCACAAATGCTGCCAGATTTCAGTGTTGATTTAATTATATGCAATAGCATTAACCATCTTTCACACTGTTTAACGTGAATATGTTTATTTTATCCTCAGTGTACTAGTGTTATGTGCCAGGTATTAATGTTATCTCATTTAATTCTATCACTAAACCATGAGTTATTATATTCATTTTAAGGATGAAGAAACAGACTCAAAAAGATTGCACAAATTGCCCAAGGTCATAAAGCTGATAAATAACAAAGCCAGGATTCAAATAACAATTTAATTCCAAAGTCCATGCTCTCTCTAATATACTATCAATAAATCGCCCCAAATTATTTTCTCCAAAAAATCTTTAAAGTTGCCAATGCTATAAAGATAAAACTATGGTATGTTTCTATCTAGTAGAACTACTTCATGCTTTCAACTTACATACAACTTGCAACCATAATATACAATAAGCACTAAGAAAAAAATACCTATAATACTAATAAACATAAAAAAAGATATCCAACCTTCCTAGTAATCAGAGGAATTCAAAATAAAGAGATATATCACTTACAAACTAACAAAAAGTCTGACAATACCTAGTGTTGGCAAGAGTGTAGAACGATGCAAATTTAATCAGCGAAGGTGGGCACTGAAATGTGTACTACTTCTGGAGACGATTGGCAATATTCAGTAAAGCTGAAGATACACATACCTTTTGATCTAGCAATTTCATTCATAGATAGGTACCCACGGAATCTCTCACCTTGTACACGAGGAAAACTGTAAAAGAACATTCATAATATTATTATTTGTTAATTGCAAAAAATTGGAAATAATTAAATGTCCATCAACAGGAAAATAAATTATAGATGTACAAGCAATAAAAATGAATGGACTAGAACTACACACATCAACAGAGATGAATCTCAAAAATATTATGGTGAATGAAAAAAAGCCAGTTGAAGAATCAGAGTATACTACCATTTAGACAAAGTTCGAAAATGTAGCTTTTATTATATTTAAAAGGAGATAATAAGCAAAGGAAGGACTACGCAATTAGGAAGAACACAGGCACTTCAATTATATTGGTAGCATTTTATGTCATAAGCAGGATGTTAGGTATATGAACAGTATATTGTACTTTATGCCTTTTAGTGTGTCTGGAATATTTCATAATAGATACCTACAAGCCACACTAATTTGGCCTAGAAAGTCTCTCTATATCATAGAATGCTTATACCAATATTTTACTAGGTTTGAAAGAATATACAGTACATTTTGTATGGAAATCAAAGGTTCAATCTGTTTTAATACATAAAATAATTTGTAATTATAATTAGCACACTATTTATAATTAAATTAGTGGTTCCTAAAGAACTGAAAATAATATTTTCCCTCTACAATAAGTTAATGATTCACCTTATAATTTTGTTTAGTGGTTAATGAGCCTAAGTTAACAAATCTACTGATAATCCCAGTATTAGCTACTATGTTATTTGTTAAATCTGGTTTACAATGTTCCCCCAAAATTCTGACTCGAGATTCTACCACACAGTAGCAGCTCAGCAAACATCTACGAAATTACAATTTAAAATCGATTGAGCAACTTAAGAAATATCTCTTGAGAAAGGGATATTATAAAAGACTTCTGTATTTCAGAAGCAGTGTTAACAGGCATGTTAATATTATGAACACTTCTTCTTCCTCTCACCTAGCCACCAAAACAACAAAGAAGCCCTCCAAAACACACTCACACGCCCACACAGTCTGGGAAGGCCTAGAATATAGTCCTAGTCCCCAGAGAGGTCACAGTTGGACAGATCTAATTTAAATACCAACTCTCTCAACCACAACACTAGTTATTGTTAGTTATTGGATCTAACTAGTTACCAGTTAGTTATTGGATCTCACATAATAGGATCTCAACAAACAGTAGTGTTTTTATTAATAGTCTACTTGGGATAAAATAGATTTGGGCATAAAGACAGCTCATACAGGCAGCAGATAAACATACTAGATTCTCTGGTGCAAATCTTATCCATGTTCCAACCAAAGAGGCTGGGCAGGCTGGCACATACATGACTTATGAGACTACTTTATAATTGTAGTTTGGTTTTTTTTTTCACTTAATAAAAAGCTGCCTTAATGCTGTATTTAAATAGTTGAGGTTTTCAATTTAAAACTCCAAATTCGGTTCTGCTCAAGATGGTGGAGTTGGTAAACGCTGTGCTTGCCCCCTCTCACAACCACATTAAAATTACAACTAAACTACAGAACAGCCATCAGGGAGTCACCCAAAGTCCAGTTGAATGAACAGAAGTCCTACAACTGGAGGCACACAGAGGGGGCCACCTCAAGACTGACAGGAGGGACAAAGACAAGAAATGGGTTGGTCCCACTCCCACATGTTGCGGTTGAAAACTGCAAGAACTATCTTGGTTGCAGAGGTCTCCCCTGAGGAGCAAGGGGTTCCGGCTCCACACCAGGCTCCCCAGCCCAGGGTTCCAGGGCCAGGAAGAGATGTCCCCACAACTTCTGGCTGTAAAAACCAGCAGAGATTGTGGCTGAGTGAGACAGAGGGCTGAGGGAGTCAGAGACATTCCACTTGAGGGGCCCATGCACGGACTTACTCAGTGACGGACTCTGAGCTCCAGCATGGGGCAGTTGCTCAAAAGGTGCCAAGGACATATGGGGAGGAAGTGAGTTGTCTGGCTTCAGGGCGAGGGCTGGAGAGGCAGCTTTCTCCCAGACAGAAGTGCAGCAGAGGGCATTATTTCTTTGTTGAGACCTCCCTGCCCAGCATGCAGACCCAGGCAGCTACCATACCTGAGTCTCTGGCAACATAGCTGACACTAGTTGCCCTGCCCAGGTGAGTCCCTGAGACCCTGCCCCTCCCAACTTCCGGGCCCACTCAAGCCACCTCCAGTGGATTTTCCATACAAACAGCTTGTCTTGGCTCATGCTGCAGACTTTCCTAAAATCTCTCAAAGGTTCACAAAATCTAAATAAGCAGCATCTAGCCTCGGTGTGCCCCATACCTCTTGCTGAGCAGCCCCAAGCCTGGCACTAGTAGCAGCCAGCCTCGGTTTGCAGCTTGGCCCCTCGAGGCACATCCAAGTCCAGCATGGATGGCAGCCATCTATGGACTTCTTGGAGGCTTATACCAGGTGGCCCTGGGCAGGACACAGGCTACAGCTGAACCTGGTCTGCAGCACGGCTCCTCCCAGGAGGTCCTGGCTTACACTCTCAGTGGTCGGCTTCAGTCTGAGTCAGAGCACTACCCAGGGTCACATCTGAGAACAATGCACCCAAAGGCAGACAGGGCAGGCATTAGAGACCTGCTAAAGTGAATCCTGCTCTGCATGGTCACCCCTGCACAACAACTCCTCCATTGGTCATGACCAGTCCTCATAACCAATAAGCCCGAAGGGGGCAATCC